AAAACTATGTACACATATTCCTCAATTACCTGATGGATAGGTGAACCAGAATTTAAAGTAGCAACGGTTTCGTCTTCATTGACTCAGTCACCATAACTGGCCACTGGCCACATTGTCAAGTGTAATTGTCGTCTAGGAATCGACTTTTATTTAGCTTTCTTGGCTCTAAACAGTAGTTCTGATGGCAATCAGTAAACGTCAGTGGTGAAAGAATGCTTATCGTGATAGTTCTTATGAAGAATCAACAAAACATGCAGTAAATCCTAGCATACTCATACTATGTCGTAGTTTCTGTTCCAATTCAAGTCACTACCATGATAACGGTGTCAATTGCTGTTCACTCGTGTGAAATANAATGCACTGAACAGTATCGACAACTTGAGAAGGAACGTAAAAAGACCGAAGCCGAGTTGGCAAGGCATAATCTCGGCAAGAAGATTTCCTCAACGAATAATATGCCTATTCCAAGACTTGCTCAGGCACCGTCTCGAATCGACCGATTAATTGTCGACTTCTTCAGGTTTTTATCTGTCATTCTATCAAATCATCTCACAAATGATCCAATCCATTCAAATCTATGATCTAGATCACTTATTATTTGCCTACTCTCAGTTTTGCCGGCTAATGAAGTGGTCGCTTTTTTCCACAGAATATCAGGAAAATCGCACAGAATAGATTTGAGAAATGCTGTCCATGTTGCCATGCATATCGCAAATGAATAGATATCGTTCTCTGCATGATCACTTCCACAAACAGTCCAAGTCTCAGCTTAATTGTCTCATTAATCAGAGTCTTATTCGAAAGATTTTCATCAGACTCAAATTCGACGACTCAAATGATAATTTCAGAGAGCATGCTCGTGTCGTTACGTTACTCTCGAAAATGGAGCAGCTTCGTGAATCTTCTCTACCACGTGCTGTACACAACACACTGCGTGCTCTGATCGATTCTGTTAAAGTTCTCCAACAATGTCGTATCAATGAAAGACAATTAATTATTCAACAGTTACGCGGTGAAATCATCAGATACAATGATGACCGTGGTATAATCTTATGACACTGTGCTTCATTCAACTGATTTACGATTAACGATTCAAAACTCCCCAAAAAAAATTTGAATTCACAGAATCGTAGTAATAATTTGAAAATTGCAGAAGCTCTTGCGTTGGCCACAGCGTTGAATAGTGTCAGTAAAGCGGTTGTTCGAGCACGATCGGCGAATTGGTGTTCGTTGATGTGGACG